TCATAAAAAATCGTTTTACTCCTGCTAGAGAGATAACTAACATATTAAATGAAATCACAGACAATCCTATTTGTGATTGAACAGTTCGTAGCTATCTCCATGGAGAAGGATATTGTAGTCAAACTGCATTGAGAAAACCCTTTGTTTCCCATTTCTACCCAAAATTGAAATGTACCATCTCCTAAGATTGTTCGGGGTCCTAAGTAACCTAACACAACACAATGTAACAGTAGAATGAATTTTAGAATCATTTTAAATACAAATGTCTGAGATTTAAATTTGTCAATTTAATATTTTTAAGGCTTTAAAAAGAAATTAGATATTTGACTTCTGATGAAGAAGAAACTGGAAGGTGACATTTAATATTATATTTATTTTATTTGGGTTAAATAATTAATGTAAAATTAAATCTAAAATTTTTTTTAAATGAAGAAACAAACAAAAAATAATGAACAAACAAAAAATAAACCAACAAAAAATAAACCAACAAGAAATAAACCAACAAGAAATACTATATAAATAAATTAAAATTATTCTTTTTTTAATACATTAGACATAAAATATTATTCACAATAACTAGTCTGTGATTATCTAAATTATTGTTTTATTGTTCATCCAGGAATCAAAGAAAACCAGAATGATCAGGATGGTGGTGAAGATAATGATGAAGATAAACTTAATGTAAAAATCTAATTTTATTTGAAACTTTTTTTCTGGTAATATTCTATATACACTAAGTCACCTAAAATAAATTTAGAACATAGTTTGTGAAAACTAATTGCCAATTCAGCAAAAATAATCAAGCAACCAACATTCTTGTCATTATTAATTATGACAAGTTCTCATGATATATTGGATAAAAGCATAAAAGAATTTGATATGGCACAAAGAAATAATATTGAGGAATTAGGGTTTTTTAACAAAATAGAATAGAAATATCATGTGTTAATATGTTTACTTGTTCAATAATAATGCCATCACAAACATTGAGCAAATCTTACTTTCTTTTTGAACCTCAATGAGCCTCCCCTATGCAAAGTTTGCACATTTAAAATATTCTTGTTTCTTGCAAATTTAAGTAGAAAATAAGCATGATTTTCTACTTATCATACTTGAACTATACTTAAATTAACACTTGAACTATACTTGATTTATACTTGATTTATTCTTAAAATTACTAGAAAACATATTGTTTATTTAAATTAAATACATTTTATTTATTTTTTTAAATACAAATAAATTTTATAAATAGCAATAATAATGATAATAATAATAATAAACTATTGATAAACCTACTAGATTTTTACAACATTGTGCAATTGATTGAATAAAAGTTCATTTGAAACAGAACTAAGAAGATCCAGATATTTAAGAGTTTTTCCATTGATATTAACAAAATCAGACAATTCTGATGGAAATG